CGACCATAGAATTGATAGGGTTGCGAAGGCCAATACATCTCTTTGTTCTCTCTGTGACTTTATTAGTTATACTATAAATATGACATGCAACCTACAGAAGAGTACGAGTCGACCAAAATGACAGATAAACAGACATACAAATTACCTTCTAATGTAACCTTGACTTGTGTAAAGAAAATAGTTTCATGTTCATTTTAAGTGCGTCTTTAAAATGATTCAAATAGTTTTTTTTTGAAATCAGATATTTTTCATAACCATGAAATAGAATATACATACATATTATATACTTTTTTCTATATAATATCTAAATGAATATCATTTATAAAATATAAATGAAATATTTTCTATGATAATAGTAATGTTTATAATGATAAATTCATATATTTAATTGACTAAATTGTTTTATTTTGATATAGTCTTTTAGAATATGTATCCATACATATCTTACGCCATCCGATTGAAAATATTTGTATAAATTTAATGTCAACTCATAAGTAATATTATCTTGTTTTAATCTACCAGTACATATTCAAACGATTAAATGTCAACTAAATAGGTGGGTGATGTCATGTTAATCCTTTTTTTTCTTATCTCAAATAACAAAAACGAATCATTTTGATAAATATTATCGTTATAATGTTCGTTTTCATATACTTTATTTTTATTTGTAATTTTCATTATATTTTTTCTTGTGGATGTTATGGATCAAATAGTTGTACTACAAATGGAATTCTTTGCAGTCCTCATGAATTAAATAATTCATGTTTATGCGACTGTTGTCCACCGTGTAATACTTGTGAACAATTTTTTCAATCGAATTGCTTATCTCATCTATATAGTAAACATTACGGTCTATCAACAAATCAATCTGATTTAATAGCTAAAATAAATCAATCAAATATTTCTTATGATATAATTGATAAAATTAATGATGAACATGTTCGTTATCTTTGGAATTCTTGTTTACGTCGATCACTTCCTAATGGTATTTATTTAATAAATGATAATGAGGGAAGATATAAACTAGTTGGTATACCAAGAGAAAAACTAGAAAAAACTTCTTTCGAAATATTATTTAAAGGTCCAGTTAGTTTACTAATATTAATCGATTTTACAATAACTATTATTTGAATAATAAAACAAAAGTCAATTATGTTTGTTGTGCTATTTTTCCTTTGTAAACATAACGATTAGCTAATGTTGATATTGATTGTTTTCTTAATATATTTCGTTCTAAACGAAGAAGTTCATCAAGTGCTGCTTGAAATCGTACGAATTCAACAAATGATAATCTAAGACCTTGTTTACGACAATCATTTCTTAGTTGATTTATAATTGTATGTGGTGCACTCATTCGAGAAACATGCGCAAGTGCAAGTAAATTTCGACCATCATAATGTGTTAAAATTTTACTAAAAGCATTTAATTTATTATTATCACACCATGTAATTACTTCTTGATTGGTCCAATTTTGAATTTTTTTAATCGGTACCATTGGTAATATTTCAACGGGTGAATGTTGTGGTGCAGGAGATAATGTAAACGTTTCTTGAGATGTTCGATGAGACGAAGGAGGTGAAACAATTCGAGTTCGTTTTGTAATTGCTGGTAAATGATGATTATTACGGCAATTTTTTTCAATTTCAGGTAAAATTTTTTCAATACTCGATGTGATTACATTGAGAGATTTTCTTTCTTGAATATTCAATGTATTAAACCAATCATCAATACGATATGGATTTCGTACAATACATAAAATAATTTTTTTACAATCAAGTACAGCTTGTCGAATTGCTGCTTGACATGTAGAATCATGTTTTGATTCTTCACTTACACAAAGAAGAATACAGGAAGAATTCAATGTTGTTCCAATATGAAAATTATGTTTTAAAAGATTTTCTTCGATTTTTTTAACAATAAAATGATCTTTCGAAGATGAAATAAGACTAATATCATATGATACTCCATTTGTTAATGGAGAACGACATGAATTTTTCATTTGAACATTTTGTAAAATACCTTGTGCAGCTGGTAATGTTGGTAGTTGTTTAAGAAAATCATCATGTCGTGTAATTAATTGATCGATAATATCCGAATGAAATGAAAGTTTCCAAATAATATCATAAACAATTGGATAATCTTTACATAATTGAATGAAATAAA